GCAGTCCGGGCTTGCTCCTCGATTTGTCTCCTTTCCAGCTCTTCTGTCCCATCGCAAAAGTTGGGACAGCCAACGGTCAGGTTCCATATGGCACCACAAATATAACAGAACTGGGCTTTGCAACGGCAGGTCATGTGCGTGCAGCCTTGCGCCAGTTCTACCAGAGCGCGACACTTGTAGCACCTCCTCCATCCGGATTTCTCGCCCATTTTGAGCACTTCGTTCAGTTCCCAATCTTCGGGGCATTCCTTCCCAATGGGGTGGGCGTTCCGCTTGCACATGATGCATACTCTCGTGTCGCAATTCCTACACTCTACATCGAATGGATGCTTGGGGTCAAGTTTGCTGCGTGGGGGGATAAACTCGCTGCAGGCAGTATTCGGACAGAATATCCTTGCATCCCATGGAGTAATGAACTGTCGGACTGCCTTGAGAAAAAGATGCCGTTCCTCGGGTGTAAGGAGGTCTTTGAGGATAGAGCTTGGTATTGGCTGCGTGCAACACCTGGGTGGGAATTTGGACTCGTCTGTCGCAGCTTGTTGCACCACGACCCTCAAGCATTGACCGCAATACGCGTGACCACAGGGGAGGCCGTATGACGACGAGGACTTATCGAAGTCGTCGCGACAGCAAATACACGCACTTGGGTTTCGTCAAGTCAGCAATCACCGAACTAAACAAGGTTATGGTTACAAGCGCGGCTCACATGGGACGGTCCAGGCCGCTTGCAGCCTTCTTTTTGCGTCGTATCCTCCGCAAGCCATCCTTTATGTTGATAAAGCTTCTCCGCGTGCTGACACTAAATAAGCTCTGTGCCGAGTTGTCGGGCAGCTCAACTGAATGTGATTTCAGAAATTTGGGCTGGTCGAGATTGGGGTCGATTTGTGTGAGGTATCGATCGTAGTAGGTAAAGCTCGTGTTCTTGGCTCGCTTTGCAGAACCGACTTTCAACGATGCCTCGGAATCGTTGTTGTCAACAAGGAGAGAGCGCGAGGTTAGTGCCGTGCTCGCGGAAGCGGACGAGGTGGAGGAGAAGGTGCGCGCATGGTAGGTAGCGATGGTCGAGCCTTGCGACTCGGCGCTAGAGGTGTTGCGCTTCTGATCAGTTGACAGCATGTGCTCTGGAAGTTTGATGCCCAGCGAGGCTGCTTTAGCGAGCAGATCCCTTTGGAGGGCGGTTTGAGCCTCGGGACCGGGAAGGTGGAGAACATGGTTGTAGTAGTCAGTGTCGTTGAGTTCGGGCGGACTGGTGGTGTCGTCGGTGGCGCTGGTCGTGGCATCGGTCGGCGAGGTGGACACGCCAGCGAGCGACCCCATGGTGCGCTGCGATGCGCTACGCCACAGGCTGAGGTCGCGAGTTATTGGATCTCAGGTCCGAAAGGACGGCAATATCATGCTGGTCCTGGACCAGAGAGACGCAGCAACGTTGGTTTGGTGAATGTTTTTGCGGTGCAGCGGTCAGGCAATGTTGTTGTTGTTGTTGTTGTTGGTGATGAGGCCGCTGCTAAGGCCTTGGACGAACGGGCATGGAACGGCGGTGCAGGGTCAACGGCGTGGCGGTTACAGCTTGGCGGGTAGTTGAGGGTAGAGACCGAATTGTGAGATTGCGTCGCAGAACAGGCGCGGTGAGTGATGGACTTTCGCTGCTAGAAAGGCGCGATTGAGGAATATACGAGTCTAAGGAGAAAAAAAGGTTGGAAGATGAGAAAACGAAGACTTGCACGATGCTTGAAAGAAGAGGGGAAAGGCAAGATATGGTGACAGGTCACTTGTGACCAGCAATCATCAGCCGAGTCGAATCGTGTCGATTCAGCGAAGTGAGCGAGCCAGTAAAAGTCAAGTTGATTCCGCCGCTGGTGCAATCTAGTGGAGGGCGAATGCCTGGATCGACGGGGGTCGTGGCCGATCTGAGAGACAACCGACCGGGGGGTGGGGGGTAAAGGCAGCGCACTGCCGTCAAGAAAAGTAGACTCGTTCGTTTGTTGGACGGTCTGGTCTAGCGAACAGACAGGCGATGGGCAAGAGGGATATCAGCTGAGATATAGTGGCCGGCGTCCTTGTACTGCGACTGTCACGGACTAGGCTGGTCAGAAGTGAACACAAGGTCGCTCACTGCTCGAGGCGTACGAGGCAAGGGATTGGACTGTTGCCGGCAGTCGTCTCTTTCCGCCCATGGCCAACGGTCAAGAGCCGTTGCTGTCATCCTTTCCGCGATGCTGGTTCGGGGGAGACAATGCTGGAGGTTTGTGGGCTTCGGTGGTGTGGGGTGCCCTCTTTCTTGTCTCTCATCTCGGATGCTCAGTAGCCGGTTGAGTCCAGGCTAGACAATAGCTGATGCGTTGCTTTTGGCGGCAAGACAGCATTTCACTGGTGCGCCCAAAGGGGAACGACACTTGGACTGATGGATATCTCTTTTGGGATATCCTCTCGGCAACGTTGTTCATCTTAAGGTAGACTGCAGATGGGCCACGCCAGATGTTGGGTTGGCGTGATGTCCGCGTGATCGCAGGTGCAGGCAGGTGCGAAGGAGCTGAGCAACAAGTGGCAACAACCACCCACCACACCACCAGCAAGCACCACCGACCGACCGACAGCGATGCAGCAACAGACAGGAAGCGGCGACCCGCAAAGCAAGGAAAC